ATAGGACCTTGCCGCTTCTTAAGGCAGGACTCTCCAGGAGAGCGGGGGTCACGCCTTGATGTTAGCGGAGAACGACAGGGTGTTGTCCAGGGTCACGCCAAGGCTCTTCGCACTCTGGGAGGAGGACACAACGGAGTTGTCAACCGTGATGGCGAGATCATGGAACGGGCAGTCCTTCCCCGGGAGGAAGAGCAGCTCCGTCTTGCCAGGGGTAAACCACTAGGAGCAGAGCTCCCCTATGGGGCTCCGCTCCACTCATAGAACTGGAGTTACACTCCGGTAACTAATCGTTCTATAGAATAGGCCTGTGGAGAGGAATTAGCAGCAGGTATTATCTACTATAGCAGCAGTTCACAAAATTGTTCACTCTGGGGCCCCAGCATTAGGGAACACCACGCGCCCCCCCCAGTGTGCGTGCGTGTGCAACGTCTATTTCTAATAATATAAATAATATGCCATTTAGCAGACGCTTTTATCCAAAGTGACTTACAGTTAGTGAGTGCATACATTTTTATTTTTTATTTTATTTTCATACTTTACCACAATTAAGGATTTTTATGTATGATGAAGTTGTATTTCAGCTTCAATAATTTATTCATGACATAAGTCTTGCACAGCTGTGTTGTCACTCACACATACAACACCACAATGAAAATACAACTAAATGCATGGGCCTGTATCAGACCACAACATGATGCCAATGGGTGTGTTCTAGACAATATTCTGCACAGATTATACAACCACTAGATCTTATGGACGTGGTTCCTGAGGTGTTAGACACTTCTCCAGGCCAGACATTGTAAGATCAGGGCCCATATTCATAAAGCGTCTCAAGAGTAGGAATGCTGATCTGGGATCAGTTTTGCCTCTTAGATTAAAATCAATGGACAAGGGGAAACTGATCCTAGATCAGCACTCCTACTCTGAATACAGGCCCTGATCATCTGTGCAGAAATGTGTGCATCTAAAACACTCATTGTGAAGAGCTTGCTGAAATTGTCTTCGCTTCTTCTCTCCTCTTCGCTTCTTCTCTCCTCCTCGCTTCTCTCCGCTAATCTTCTCCTCTATTCCTTGCCAACAGGCAGGTACTTGCTGGTGTCCATTTTGAATCCCCTCCAGGTAAAACAAGTTATTATTTTCTCAACCCAACACCTGTGTCATTTGGGACTGAACCGTGTGTGGCTGGGCTTGGCTTTCTTGGTGGCTCGTTCTGTGTCTAAATGGATGTCCTTTCGATACATCCAAACCCCCATCCCCTCTTTCTCTCTCCCTCTATCCAGGCGGTAGGTGAGGGAGGGTAGTGAGCGGGACAGAGGGCCAGTAGCTTACCTTCTCCCATTATGGTCCTGTTGATCTCTTACCTGGGGAGAGGAGATGAAAAATAGGGGTCAGAGAAACTCTTCATGGGGTGACTGTTTTGGTCAGGGTTAATGGTAGGGGTGGGAGACAGGTGTGAGGCTGGTTCTATAGAATAGGCCTGAGGAGAGGAATTAGCAGCAGGTATTATCTACTATAGCAGGGGTTCCCACATTTTTTCCCTCTGGGGCCCCAGCATTAGGGAATACCACGCGCCCCCCACAGCGTGCGTGAGTGTGCAACGTCTATTTCTATGGGCACAAGCACTGTTCATGACACAAACTGTTCACACCCCTCTTGTTGGTGGAGGTTTTGCAGGTTTAAAGCTTATTTCCTGCAATTCTACACATTTTGTCATGGGGTGCAAACAACATTTTGCAGTTTTAAAGCTAATTTTCTTGCAATTCTATTCATTTTGCCGTGTCTAATGTGTATTCATGTGATATATACCCGCGCCCTCCCTGACGACCCCTAGAGGGGGCGCGCCCCACAGTTTGGGAACCACTATACTATAGGACAGCCACAATGCAGGTGGGAGAAATGATCTGTTAGAGTGTGTGTCCTGACAGTATAGTATTCATGTTGTAATCAGACAAATACTCATTACACAGCTAACGTTAAAGGGTTTGGGGGGTCCTACCTGAGGTGTGGCTGTCAGATAAAGATGTTCTTTATTTTGGAAAGGATGCCCTCCTCCTCTTTCTTCTTCTTCTCCTGCCCCTCTGTTCTGTCCTGTCCTGACCCAGACTCAGAGCGCTGACCACTCCTGCCCCCACCTGGACAAAAACAGGTACTATATGAATCAGCCAAAATATGACCCATGTTTACATCATGTTTTAACATGTGTGTGTATGTGCTTGGCGTGTGTGTGTGTGACAGTGTTTGAAATGTTTGAATCCTTCTTTGCAGTAATGTGATTTGTAGATTAAGTAAAGTATTTAAAGTGTGTGTGTGTGTTGAGAGGGGACAGGCTAGCACTGGCAGGAGAAAGACAAGGTGATCTGGATGTGGAACTATATAGTATAATTCCCAGGTAAAAACAACCTACCTGTGGTAGTAGCAGTAACTCCGTTGACAGTCCCCAACACGTCAGTCTCTTCCTCTGCATAGCTCAGGAGCAGGGAGCGCTGTCTATGGGTTAACTTCCTACAGCGGTAGAAGACAAGAGGGTTGGAACACTCTATTCTAACCATGAACAAATCAAAACAGTGGTCACACCAAACCATGCTAGCTAGACAACAGTGTTAAGTGAATGTGTCTGTTAACGTCTGTGAGACAGACTCTCCGCAAGATGGCACCAACAGACACGATCACCCTGTTTCTAAACTCAGCAACAAAAAAAAGGACCCTGTCTTCTTTTCCAGGACCCTGTCTTTCAAAGATAATTTGTAAAATCCAAATAACTTCACAGATCTTCATTGTAAAGGGTTTAAACACTGTTTCCCATGCTTGTTCAATGAACCATAAACAATTAATGAACATGCACCTGTGGAACGGTCGTTAAGACACTAACAGCTTAGACGGTAGGAAATTAAGGTCACAGTTATGAAAACTTAGGACACTAAAGAGGCCTTTCTACTGACTCCGAAAAACACAAAAATAAAGATGCCCAGGGTCCCTGCTCATCTGCGTGAACGTGCCTTAGGCATGCTGCAAGGAGGCATGAGGACTGCAGATGTGGCCAGGGCAATAAATTGCAATGTCCGTACTGTGAGACGCCTAAGACAGCGCTACAGGGAGACAGGATGGACAGCTGATCGTCCTCGTAGTGGCAGACCACGTGTAACAACACCTGCACAGGATCAGTACATCCGAACATCACACCTGTGGGACAGGTACAGGATGGCAACAACAACTGCCCGAGTTACAGCAGGAACGCACAATCCCTCCATCAGTGCTCAGACTGTCCGCAATAGGCTGAGAGAGGCTGGACTGAGGGCTTGTAGGCCTGTTGTAAGGCAGGTCCTCACCAGACATCACCGGCAACAACATCGCCTATGGGCACAAACCCACCGTTGCTGGACCAGACAGGACTGGCAAAAAGTGCTCTTCACTGACGAGTCACGGTTTTGTCTCACCAGGGGTGATGATCGGATTCGCGTTTATCGTCGAAGGAATGAGCGTTACACCGAAGGCTGTACTCTGGAGTGGGATCGATTTGGAGGTGGAGGGTCCGTCATGGTCTGGGGCGGTTTGTCAGCATCATCGGACTGAGCTTGTTGTCATTGCAGGCAATCTCAACGCTGTGCGTTACAGGGAAGACATCCTCCTCCCTCATGTAGTACCCTTCCTGCAGGCTCATCCTGACATGACCCTCCAGCATGACAATGCCACCAGCCATACTGCTCGTTCTGTGCGTGATTTCCTTCAAGACAGGAATGTCAGTGTTCTGCCATGGCCAGCGAAGAGCCCGGATCTCAATCCCATTGAGCACGTCTGGGACCTGTTGGATCGGAGTGTTAGGGCTAGGGCCATTCCCCCCAGAAATGTCAGGGAACTTGCAGGTGCCTTGGTGGAAGAGTGGGGTATCATCTCACAGCAAGAACTGGCAAATCTGGTGCAGTCCATGAGGAGATGCACTGCAGTACTTAATGCAGCTGGTGGTCACACCAGATACTGACTGGTACTTTTGATTTTGACCCCCCCTTTGTTCAGGGACACATTATTCAATTTCTGTTAGTCACATGTCTGTGGAACTTGTTCAGTTTATGTCTCAGTTATTGAATCTTGGTATCTTCATACAAATATTTACACATGTTAAGTTTGCTGAAAATAAACGCAGTTGACAGTGAGAGGACGCTTCTTTTTTTGCTGAGTTTAGTTCCTATCAGATTATGTGTGTATTATGTTTCAGGGATAATGCCAGAGAAGCTGGTGTTTGGAGGATATATTGGCATGGGTGTTGTTAGTGTTAATACCAGAGTGGGCACATTCGCTATGCCTTTGCGCAACATTTTTAGTGACAAAACCATCAGTAGGCCTAGAGTTGAAAATGCAATGGAAACCCATACATTTTTTATTTGGTACATGGGAATGTAACCTCAAGTTCTTTTTATGTGCACTACATGTTTACACTGGTAGGCCTAGTTGCCAGCTTTTGGCCCCCCAACAAAATATAAAGACGATAAAATCATAGCTGGCCAAATTGTCCAGGAGAGGCTGTCTATCATCAGTTTAATATAATATTTAATATTGTAGAGGACTAAGATGAGAAGGCCTTTGGAGCATCCAAATGCAGGCTACTGTGCAAATCCCTATTCAGGTAGGATGCAATTTTCAAACATACATTGATTTATAATAATTCGTATTATTAATCATGGTTATTATTGTAAGCCTATTTATTAAACAAAACCAGTTTTTTTAAATATGCAAAACCTTTTCTTTAATTCTGACATTTTCATTAAATTCGATCCGTCTTTTTAATTGGTGCTCTCTGGACAAATTATGTTCCAACTGTAGGCCTAATGCTGTGTTTGCCACAATATAATATCTAGGCCTAATGCTGTGTTTGCCACAATATAATAGCCTGCTCATATTTCAGTGATAATGCTCTCGAAACCGGTGTTTGGAGGATATATTGGCATGGGTGTTGTTCGTCTCGGGCCGGCAAACCGTGCCAATATATCCTCCAAACACCAGCTTCTTGGGCATTATCACTTTTATACAACAGGTACCAACATACAGTGGGGAAAAAAAGTATTTAGTCAGCCACCCACTTAAAAAGATGAGAGAGGCCTGTAATTTTCATCATAGGTACACGTCCACTATGACAGACAAATTGAGAAAAAAAATTCCAGAAAATCACATTGTAGGATTTTTAATGAATTTATTTGCAAATTATGGTGGAAAATACATATTTGGTCACCTACAAACAAGCAAGATTTCTGGCTCTCACAGACCTGTAACTTCTTCTTTAAGAGGCTCCTCTGTCCTCCACTCGTTACCTGTATTAATGGCACCTGTTTGAACTTGTTATCAGTATAAAAGACACCTGTCCACAACCTCAAACAGTCACACTCCAAACTCCACTATGGCCAAGACCAAAGAGCTGTCAAAGGACACCAGAAACAAAATTGTAGACCTGCACCAGGCTGGGAAGACTGTATCTGCAATAGGTAAGCAGCTTGGTTTGAAGAAATCAACTGTGGGAGCAATTATTAGGAAATGGAAGACATACAAGACCACTGATAATCTCCCTCGATCTGGGGCTCCACGCGAGATCTCACCCCGTGGGGTCAAAATGATCACAAGAACGGTGAGCAAAAATCCCAGAACCACACGGGGGGACCTAGTGAATGACCTGCAGAGAGCTGGGACCAAAGTAACAAAGCCTACCATCAGTAACACACTACGCCGCCAGGGACTCAAATCCTGCAGTGCAAGACGTGTCCCCCTGCTTAAGCCAGTACATGTCCAGGCCCGTCTGAAGTTTGCTAGAGTGCATTTGGATGATCCAGAAGAGGATTGGGAGAATGTCATATGGTCAGATGAAACCAAAATAGAACTTTTTGGTAAAAACTCAACTCGTCGTGTTTGGAGGACAAAGAATGCTGAGTTGCATCCAAAGAACACCATACCTACTGTGAAGCATGGGGGTGGAAACATCATGCTTTGGGGCTGTTTTTCTGCAAAGGGACCAGGACGACTGATCCGTGTAAAGAAAATAATGAATGGGGCCATGTATCGTGAGATTTTGAGTGAAAACCTCCTTCCATCAGCAAGGGCATTGAAGATGAAACGTGGCTGGGTCTTTCAGCATGACAATGATCCCAAACACACCGCCCGGGCAACGAAGGAGTGGCTTCGTAAGAAGCATTTCAAGGTCCTGGAGTGGCCTAGCCAGTCTCCAGATCTCAACCCCATAGAAAATCTTTGGAGGGAGTTGAAAGCCTGTGTTGCCCAGCGACAGCCCCAAAACATCACTGCTCTAGAGGAGATCTGCATGGAGGAATGGGCCAAAATATCAGCAACAGTGTGTGAAAACCTTGTGAAGACTTACAGAAAACGTTTGACCTGTGTCATTGCCAACAAAGGGTATATAACAAAGTATTGAGAAACTTTTGTTATTGACCAAATACTTATTTTCCACCATAATTTGCAAATAAATTCATTAAAAGTCCTACAATGTGATTTTCTGGATATTTTTTCTCATTTTGTCTGTCATAGTTGACGTGTACCTATGATGAAAATTACAGGCCTCTCTCATCTTTTTAAGTGGGAGAACTTGCACAATTGGTGGCTGACTAAATACTTTTTTCCCCCACTGTATTCAAATAATGATTGACATATTTTCATTAAAAACGTTATTTTGATTAATCTATTCATACTATTTCATCCCTCCACAAGATATAGTCCCGACACAAATCTAGGGTTGCTACCTAAGCCGGCTGGTCGTTCGTTCTATCGGTTCGGTTGCTAGAGACGCGATCCAGTCCTTCAGTCTCTTTGTTCTGTATCTATGGACGCGACCCAGTCGTTTGTTCTACATGTTCCATTGCCATACTGGCTGGCAACGTTCTTATCCCTTGCTTGCTAGCTAGCTAACTACGGCTAACTTAGTCATGTCAAAAAGTGCTGCCAGAATAACATTAAAGTAGCTGCATTTGTGTTTGTTTAAGCTGTTTTCTAGTGACATTTATTTGTAGACATCCATAACAATGAGCTAATGAGGCACGATTTCGCCTGACACAGAAAATGTGCTCACTCGTCAGGATACTGTTGTTCAGAGGAGATAGCCAACAACACAACTAACGCAATCACTTCAAACTGAAGCAGGAAAGATTGCAAACTAGCTGCACTCCGTTTCATTGTACCTTTTTTCTATTGACATTTCTTTGTATATATCCATAAAAATGATTTCGACTGGCTGAGAAACGCTGCCTGCCTGTCTGTCTCATCCCGACTCCCAACACGTTCATTACTATGGGACAGCTGGAGATTGAATTTGAATATTGAAACCATGTTGCAAATGTTGGAGAGACAGACAGCATGGTGTTAGTCTAAAATAAATGTGAGATAATGTCTAGATGCTTTTTATAGTTGAGATCAAGTTTATAAATTGCCTGGCTGGGCTGATGAGACAGTGGATTGCGCAGTCAGATGGAGCAGAGTAAATAGGCATTTTAACTTTATAGATTTAGCCAGTGGTAACTTGTGGAATAGACACTGGAATGCGGTTTTAACCAATCAGCATTAGACCCACCCGTTGTATACATCTTTATATTGTATTGCTAGGTATTACTGCACTGTTGGAGATAGAAACACAAGCATTTCGCTTCAACTTCGATAACATCTGCAAATCTATGTATGCGACTAATAAAAGTTGATTTGTGTGTGTTCTTTCTCTTTTACTCTTACTTTGGTACTCTGATCTTGATGTGAACGTAGTGATCTCCATAACTATAGCTGTTCATCCTCTGGATCCCCTTTCCCTGCAGACGGATCTTCTGGTCCGCCTGGCAACCCGGAGGGATCTACAAAACAAAGGGCAGTGGTTCGGTCAATCCAGCCTCTTTTCACATCTGCCAGTGAGTCTAGCAACACAAGCCAAGTAGACCCATCAGCTTGGGCAAGCAAGACTAGGGTAAGTGTAACATGTATCTAATGTATTATTTCCAGATGGTTGCCAGATTGACTAGGGTCAGTGTAACATGTATCTAATGTATTATTTCCAGTTGGTTGCCAGATTGACTAGGGTCAATGTAACATGTATCTAATGTAATATTTCCAGATGGTTACCAGATTGAAAGATGTGGTAATGTAATACATGCTGAACAGAATTACACCCAAACATTGAAATATTTCATATAGATACATTCAATAGTCAGGGATACAGTTCCTCTTTACCTCCCTCCCTCACCTGGATGTCTATACTGTTGTACAGTCCCTGTGCCCGGGCAGAAAACAACTTATTTCTCTCTCCTTCCATCCCCCTTCCCTCACTCCCTCAGCCCCCCCCTCACCTGTAGACCCCCCCTTTGCCTCCAGAACAGCCTGAATTCTTCGGGGTATTCTACAAGGTGTCAGAAACGTTCCACAAGGATGTTGGTCCATGCTGACACGATGGCATCACGCAATTAATGCAGATTGGCCTGGCGGTACATTCATGCTGCAAACATCCCGTTCCATCTCATCCCAAAGATGCTCTATTGGGTTGAGGTCTAGGGACTGCGCAGCCCACTCAAGTAAACTGAACTAGCTGTCATGTTCCAGGCGATGTTTTTCCACTCCTCAATTGTCCAGTGTTCACATGCCCACAGAACCCCCCCAGTATAGCCTGGGCTACAGAGATCTATCTAACTCTTTCTCCCCCTCCCCGTCCCTCTCACCTGTATATCTATGGTGTTGTAGAGTCCCTGTGCTCTAGCAGAGCCCCCCAGAATAGCCTGGGCCACAGAGATGTGGACATCAGAGTGGATGTTGATACCATCACGTCTGAACACTGGACTCCTCTGGACCTGGAGAGAAGAGGAGATACCGGACCATCAGAACCAACACAAATATAACAGTGTGATAATAAGTGTTTCACAAATGAGAAAAATAACATTGTTTCCCCAATGTTTTTTATATTTGATAGGTCTCAAGAATATTAGAAAGGCTTCAGGTTGATCAGCCAAAGCAAAACTGGATTATCAGAACCACAATCAATCAAACATTGATTGACATGAATAATACTTTAGACATCTATGCACCCAAACCCCGAAAGAGAAAGCAAAAGCATACAGGAGTATAACTGCCATGTCTGGGAGCTCATTGAAGGGTAGACCAGGGTTTCCCAAACTGGGTCCTGGGGCCCCTCTGGGTGCACATTTTGGTTTTTGCCCCTAGAACTACACAGCTGATTCAAATAATCAAAGCTTGATGATGAGCTGGTTATTTGAATCAGCTGTGTAGTACTACAGCAAAACCCAAAGATGCACCCAAGGGGGACCCCATGACAGACTTTGGGAAACCCTGGGGTAGACAACTTGCTCAATGCTGTCCATACTTACTCTAAATGTGATGTGGATTTCCTTCTTCCCCACTGGCATTCGTACAGTCTGTCCATCGTCTACTCCTGCAAGACAACAATATAAAAACACATCAGTCCATGTCTGTAGTCAATCTGCATTTTCATCATATCATTGAACAATTGGTTCCTTGTACGTGGCCTGACCTGATGGATGGAGATATCTCTCTCACTCACCCGCAGGTACAGGCACGGTGACGGTCTGTCTCTGTTTGGTCTGTCCCGAGCCGCGACACATCACACAGGGCGTGGTCATGATGGAGCCCCGCCCACCACAGCGACGACACGTGGAGCGCATCATGAACGGGCCCGTGTTTATAGACTCCTACAGGGGGCAGCACAGAGACTAACATTAAGATGATCATACATTTTTAATATGGCTGTTATGACAGTATAGAGCTAATAAAGGTGTCTTAATAAGTTATGGGAGTGTGGATCAAAAAGGTAAGCCCTGAAGTCAATTGCTACTAGCTCCCTGAGATTTCTGTTTTATAAAAGGGATACGGTCATGGTGGAGACAACCTTGTAAAACATCAGGGACTGTACTCATAAAGCGTCTCAAAGTAGCAGTTCTGATCGAGGATCAGTTTTTTAAATCATAATAAATAAGTTGGAGGGGGCTGATTCTAGACCAGCACTCCTACTCTGAGACGCTTGGTGAATACAGGCCCTGGTCCCTGACGGTGACAGTTGGTTGACATCACTCACCATGCCGGTGCCGTTGCAGTAGTGACAGTGTTGGACCTTGGTTCCTGGCTCACTGCCTTTACCGTCACATCTCTGACACGCATTCTCCAGGTTCACTGTCATCTCCTTGTTCACTCCCTTCGCTGCCTGGGTGAACGTCAGCTCCATCACAAACTGAGAGAGAGAGGGATGGAGGGAGGGAAGCAGAGAGAGAGAGAGAGGAAAGGGGAGAGAGAGGGAGAGACAAATAAAAGGGTAAAGAGATGGAGGTATAGCATGAGAAAAAGGGGGGAGAGGTAATAAAGTGGGAGAGAGAGGGAGAAAGAGAGTTACAGATGAAAACATATGGCTGAATATGTATAACTGAGCAAGCTCTAAACATTCACATGAAATCATGTAACATTGCTGTTGATTGGAACTTATACATTCTACCAATTCTAATTCTATGCTGAATCATGAAACCTGTTATAACCTGGTTATTCATCTGTTAGAACCACACCTCTGGCCTCTGTTCAAACATGCTGTTAAAGTCTCCGAACCCCCGTGCTCCTGTGAACTCCCCGAAGATCTTCCTGAACATTTCCTCTGGGTCGACACTGGCCCCCCCGGACCTCCAGTACTGCTGCCCCCCCGCCCCCCCTCCCGCCTGGCCGGGGTCGAAGCCTGCCGCCCCGTACGTGTCATACTGCTTCCTCTTCACCTCGTCACTCAGCACCTTGGGGGAACAATATCAGGAACAATATCAGGAACGATATCCCAGCCATTGCTAAGGGGTTGTGTCTCACTGTCCATCTACAAATAATATAGAAGAGAGTAGAAGTTGCTTAAATAGGTACAGATCTAGGATCAGCGCCTCATCAGATCCTATGCCTGGCTTGGCAGAGCCTTTTGATTTATTGGAAATTGAAGTTCTGGACAGTCGAAAGCGTGCAGGACTTGAATTTGTAGAATTAGGCCAGGGACCAATTGAATGTGTCTCTGCCTGATCTGGCACGACAAAGGGTGTGTACCTCGTAGGCTTCTGCCAGCTTGGCAAACTTCTCCTTGGCCTGAGGGTCATCCTGGTTGGTGTCTGGGTGGTACTTCTTAGCCATCTGTAATAGGATAGACCAATGGTATTATATAGCCTACCGAGCTAATTTCACTGAACCAATGAGACGAGGCCATGTACTATTTCAATGTTTACAACTGAAGTTTGAATCAATGTTTATGAACATTCTAGAACTCCATACATGTAGAACTCCATAATGACAACAGTCTAGGCCTATATTTCTGCAACAACCCACACAGCAACAGAGCTACAGGTGCAGGCTTTCCTAATAGACAACCCTCTCACCTGATAGTAGGCTTTCTTGATCTCTTTCTGAGTGGCCGAGCGAGGCACCCCCAGAACATCATACAAGTCCTGTTTGTTAGCTGAGGAGCAGCTAGTGTGGAAGGAGTGACTACTGCTGACAACATGGGGGGACCTCAGTCCTGTGGTGAGAAGAGGGAGATATGAACTGCGTCAAAGAGCCATAACTTCTGTCCTTGTATTGAAGCAAAGCATTCTGGGTAATGGTACTTAGCATGTTTGTTAGACATAGCTAGCTAACGTTAGCTAAACAAATAATGAAGAATGAGAAGAATGCATTTAGAAGTGTACTAGCTAGATGTACGGACTAGCTAGCTAGTAGTTAACTACCAGTGCAGACACTGTAGTTTGTGTCATGTAAATTTTGTGCTTGAGCATTGAGGACAGTTACATCATGCACGTCCAGCTACTGTACATTGTTGTTGCAGCAGTACCGAGCAAGTGTCTAATGTCTGATCGTGACATGAAACACATAAATAAACACAATGTCAACGACATTTACAGAATGATTGACAAATAAAATAGCTTTCTATAGCAACCAAACTTTTACCTAGGTTTATACTGACACCAACTCCAGACAGTTCTCCCTCTCTCACCTGTGAGTCTCAATGTCACTGCATTTCCAGGTCTCAAACATCCAAAATTGCCCCCTATCCTGCACCGTTGTGTCTCCAAGATCGCCGTGGCACAGGCTTCTCCATGTCTAGCCGAGGCAAGCAGCAAGCAAGCCCGACGTTGGCCAGAAGACACTCCTACAGAGTTGAGTAAACGTGCTGTGCAGATAGCCACGGAGGACGCCATCTTTGCATCACTACAGAGGCCGGGGGTGCACTGCGCATGTGCGGGATGTACAGGTCAGAGGGGCAAGGCAAGCACTGAGAGTTGTTACATTTTTTTATTTCTATGATTATTTGCGTCTTTATTTTTAAGTTATTATGGATGTGCAGTATTGTTTTTTGTTCATGTTTGGATTCATCTTTATTGAATTCAAGTTCAGCATGGTAAGCATATGATTAATGCATGAATGATACATGGTAAAGTTATCTGTTGATTCTCTAGTCCTATGACGAATTAGTAACACATATTCAACAGTTAATCATGCAGCAACGTGACACACACAATATCATCAACATTCATTGATATGTTTAACATCTAATGCATCATAGATTGTCATCCATTAAAAATAATTTATTAAATCAATGTAGCCAATAGCTAGTATCTATAGATAATTTTCATCACCCTTTTTATCACCTTTTCCTTTCCTCCAAGCTCCTCTCCTCTTTTTCCTGATATTCCCAATATTCCCCAACTTCTGCATCATTCCCTTAAACTCCCATACGTAAAAATGTATGCACGCATGACTGTAAGTCGCTTTGGAGAAAAGCGTCTACTAAATGGTATATTATTATTATTATTATTATTATTATTATTATTAAACTGTTGACCCATGTCAAACCCTGCCCCTTCATTCCCTCCCTCCGTGTTTCCCTCCGGAATCTCTCTCTCTTCCTCATCCCACCTTCCTGTCCCCTTCACAAACTCATTTCCCCATTCTCATTCCCGTTCCCTCTCTTTTCTGTCTTTTTCATGTTGTTTTTCAGTCTTTCTAGCTGTTCCCTGAAGTTCTGAAGCTCCCACTCTCCTTCGACCTTCTGTCTATTCTTGTGTTTCAGGTTGGTAACCATTTCATCCACCATCCTCCCCAACTCCTCCCTAAATCTCTGCACGTCCTCTCTGCTCTTGTGTTTGTCCTCGACTGCTCTCGCTCTTTTTAGGGCAAGCCTGTCAACTAACCTATCCAACTCATATATAAAACTCAGCGCCTCTACCTCCATCCCTCTGTCTCCTTCTTTCTCCACATGCTTCAACAAGAGCTCATCTTGAAGCCTCGCTAGCTTCTCTCTGAAGATCCTGTGTTCCAAATTCTCCACGTTAACTCGCATTCTCTCCCTTTCATTGATCCTTTCCTTAAGTCTGATAAAGCCGTCCAATAGGCCCCTAAGCTGCTCCCTAAACTCCACCAATAGCGGTTGAGCTTCTGGGTGCATCTCCACGGTGTAGCAGCGGTCTGCGCCCCGATCCAAAATGGCGTCGATCTTCTCCAGTAACCCTGTGACTTCCACCTCTTCACCAATGCTCTTTGGGCAGATGTGAAAACGTCCCCCAAACTCCTCAACCAGCCTCTGGGCCTCTCTCTCCTTCAGTAGATCCTCCAGACTGTCCTTCTGCTCCGGCTTGTAGGTGAAGAGGACCTGAGTGAAACCGTGGGCCTTCTCTCCGAACATCCTCCGGATGCACTGAGCCCCCCTCCTCTCCTGCTCTGTGAGCCGACCCAACGGAGCCACCAGGAGAAAAGAGTGGACCCCCTTGGAACACTCAGACAGGGACAGACACTCCATAGCCCAGTCCTGTAGACAAGTCATCACAATTTATTTGAAGTGCCTTTCACAGTGGGTGAATCTCAATTATATTTCCTTTATTCCTTATGTCCTCCCTCCTTGTCTCCTTCTCAAAGCAGATTGGAGCAGAAGATCTGATGTATTTTCAGAACGAGGCAAGGATACGTGACACGTGGAATCAAGGACGTACAATTGAGATTCACCCAGTCTCAACACACTTTACAGAGAAAAACAGAATATAAATAAGAACAAGAAACAACAATAGAGAAATCCAAAACAGACAAACAGCAGACACAGATACAGTACATTGACACAAAAACATGGGTCCCTGCTATTCAGAATCCTTGGGACGTCCCTACCCCCACTGAAGTTAAAATGTAAAATGGTTATAGTACGGGTTAAGGTTAGGGTAAAAGTAGGGGTTACGGTTAGGGTTTAGGGTAGGGACCTCCCAAGGAACCGTGATAGCACATGACGAGGCAGACACAAGCGCAGCAGACTATGCCACATTTACCTGTAGCGCCTTCTGGCTCTGGGTGGTGGTTACTGCACCAGGCATGTTTACCACAGTGAGGGGGCGTCCTGAGATGGTTCCTGTAGTACCCCAGAGTCTGGTGGTCCCCAGGGGCTTCTCTTCACCTCCTTCCAGGGAAGCCCATGACACAGCTCCAGGGTTGCCGATGACGACCAATGTACGTTCTGGACACGAAAGAGGGAAGGATTTAGAACTATTAATTATTGAATATTTTACATCCACATACAAGTTGTCTGGTAGGGGTAATATGAACACTATTTAGACTTGACTTGCAATAATTTTACACATTCAAAAAATAAAGCAGACATTATAATGGGTGTCAGCTTGTGTAACAGATAGATTGTCAACATAAATCTGAGCCAAGGCATGAGTATGCCGTATTGAGTAAGCTAGTAATCGTGCATATCTTAGATATCTATATTTGAAGCAAAATAATATACAGAACTAAACTCACCAGATGGGGTTTTCATATTGAATCAGTCAAACCACATTCACTTCAAATGTCCCTTCAACGACCTTTTACCAGCAGTTCTCAAGTACTGACAAGTTTTAGACGGCTTGCCTGGGAATCTGTACTTTGTACAATAGCAGTAATATAAAGCACTAATGTTTTGTATAAATCTGGCCAATGAATGGCTAGGGGCAATAAACAGCCACATGCATAAATGTGAGAGGAAAGCTTCAGGTAAAATATTTTCAGATGTGATTTTATGTATTTTTTATTTCACCTTTATTTAACCAGGTAGGCCAGTTGAGAACAAGTTCTCATTTACAACTGCGACCTGGCCAAGATAAAGCAAAGCAGTGCGATAAAACCAACAGCAACACAGAGTTACATATGGGATAAACAAAAACGTACAGTCAATAACACAATAGAAAAATAGAAAATCTATATACAGTATGTGCAAATGTAGTAAGTTATGGAGGTAAGGCAATAAATAGGCCATAGTGCAATATAATTACAATTTAGTATTAACACTGGAGTGATAGATGTGCAGAAGGTGATGTGCAAATAGAGATACTGGGGTGCAAAAGAGCAAAATAAATAACAATATGGGGATGAGGTAGTTGGGTGGGCTAATTACAGATGGGCTGTGTACAGGTGCAGTGATCAGTAAGCTGCTCTGACAACTGTTGCTTAAAGTTAGTGAGGGAGATAAGAGTCTCCAGCTTCAGAGATTTTTGCAGTTCGTTCCAGTCATTGGCAGCAGAGAACTGGAAGGAATGGCGGCCAAAGGAGGTGTTGGCTTTGGGGATGACCAGTAAGATATACCTGCTGGAGTGCATACTACGGATGGGTGTTGCTATGGTGAGCAATGAGCTAAGATAAGGCAGGGATTTGCCTAGTAGTGATTTATAGATGACCTGGAGCCAGTGGGTTTGGCGACGAATATGTAGTGAGGGCCAGCCAACGAGAGCGTACAGGTCACAGTGGTGGGTAGTATATGGGGCTTTGGTGACAAAACGGATGGCACTGTGATAGACTATATCCAATTTGCTGAGTAGAGTGTTGGAGGCTATTTTGTAAATGACATCGCCGAAGTCAAGGATCGGTAGGATAGTCCGTTTTACGAGGGCATGTTTGGCAGCATGATTGCAGGAGGCTTTGTTGCGAAATAAGAAGCCGATTCTAGATTTAACTTTGGATTGGAGATGCTTAATGTGAGTCTGGAAGGAGAGTTTACAGTCTAACCAGACACCTAGGTATTTGTAGTTGTCCACATATTCTAAGTCAGACCCGCCGAGAGTAGTGATTCTAGTCGGGCGGGCGGGTGTAAGCAGCGTTCGATTGAAGAGCATGCATTTAGTTTTACTAGCGTTTAAGAGCAGTTGGAGGCCACGGAAGGAGTGTTGTAAGGCATTGAAGCTCGTTTGGAGGTTTGTTAATACAGTGTCCAATGAAGGGCCAGATGTATACAAAATGGTGTCATCTGCGTAGAGGTGGATCTGAGAGTCACCAGCAGCAAGAGCGACATCATTGATATACACAGAGAATAGAGTCGAACCGAGATTTGAACCCTGTGGCACCCCCATAGAGACTGCCAGAGGTACAGACAACAGGCCCTACGATTTGACACATTGAACTCTATCTGAGAAGTAGTTGGTGAACCAGGGCATGGGCAAGTTGCAGCGGAGAGTGCAGAGCTGGTGGTCGGGGTAGGGGTAGCCAGGTGGAAAGCAAGGCCAGCCGTAGCAAAATGCTTGTTGAAATTCTCGATTATCGTAGATTTATCGGTGGTGACAGTGTTTCCTAGCCTCAGTGCAGTGGGCAGCAGGGAGGAGGTGCTCTTATTCTCCATGGACTTTACAGTGTCCCAAAACTTTTTGGAGTTAGTGCTACAGGATGCAAATTTATGTTTGAAAAAGCTAGCATTTGCTTTCCTAACTGATTGTGTATATTGGTTCCTGACTTCCCTGAAAAGTTGCTTATCGCAGGGGCTGTTCGATGCTAATGCAGATCGCCACAGGATGTTTTTGTGATGGTCAAGGGCAGTCAAGTCTGGGGTGAACCAGGGGCTATATCTGTTCTTAGTTCTGAATTTTTTGAATGGGGCATGCTTATTTAAGATGGAGAGGAAAGCACATTTGAAGAACATCCAGGCATCCTCTACTGACGGAATGAGGTCAATATCCATCCAGGATACCCAGGCCAGGTCAATTAGAAAGGCCTGCTCGCTGAAGTGTTTTAGGGAGCGTTTGACAGTGATGAGGGGTGGTCGTTTGACCGCGGACCCTTTACGGATGCAGGCAATGAGGCAGTGATCACTGAGATCCTGGTTGAAGACAGCGGAGGTGTATTTAGAGGGTAAATTAGTCAGGATGATATCTATGAGGGTGCCCATGTTTACGGATTTAGGGTTGTACCTGGTAGGTTCCTTGATCATTTGTGTGAGATTGAGGGCATCTAGTTTAGATTGTAGGACGGACGGGGTGTTAAGCATATCCCAGTTTAGGTCAACAAGCAATACGAACTCTGAGGATAGATGGGGGGCAAACAATTCACATATGGTGTCCAGGGCACAACTGGGGGCTGAGGGGGGTCTGTATCAAGCGGCAACAGTGAGAGACTTATTTCTGGAAAGGTGGATTTTTAGAAGTAGAAGCTCAAACTGTTTGGGCATAGACCTGGATAGTATGATAGAGCTCTGCAGGCTATCTCTACAGTAGACGGAAAATGTTGTAGTTGGGGGTGGACATTTCTGAATTTTTGGTGGCCTTCCTAAGCCAGGATTCAGACACTGCTAGAACATCAGGGTTGGCAAAGTGTGCTAACGCAGTGAATAACTCAAACTTAGGGAGGACGCTTCTGATATTAACATGCAAGAAACCAAGGCGTTTACGGTTACAGAAGACAACAAATGATAGCGCCTGGGGGGTAGGAGTGATACTGGGGGCTACAGGGCTTGGGAGAGGAACAGGAACAGAGGAGGAATAGAATAAGGATATGGCTAAAGGCTTTAAGAACTGGTCTTCTAGTGCGTTGGGTACAGAGAATAAAAGGGGTAAACCTAAGCGTTGGGTAACGATGAAAGCGATAGCATCCCTGGAGGCACCGATTGAGCCGGTCTCCGCGTGTATGGGGGGTGGGACAAAGGAGCTATCTGAGGCAGGGTGAGCGGGACTGGGGGCTCTACAGTGAAATAGTACAACAAGAACTAACCGAAACAGCAATAGGCAAGGCATATTGACATGGGAGAGAGGCATAAAGCAATCACAGGTGTTATTCGAGAGAGCTAAGACAACAGCTGGTAATGGCGACGAAAGTTTGGGCTGAGGCTAAACAGATAAACAGGATGGGGTACCGTATAAAGGAACAGTCCAGCAGGCATCAGCTGATGTGATAAAAGCAAACTGGTTGACTATAGCTGTTTGTTGAGAAAGATATGCAATTTCATACTTTCAATGAAACCAAAGGTCTTTGACATAAAGCTTAATGCTGTTTTGAAATTGTGCTTTAGGAGGACATTGGTTACGGTAACAAGCGGATCAGTAGAAAAATCGACTTAGTATCTAAACCAAAGAGTAATTTCTGGTCATGGTGGCTCTAATCCAGTGGAGACTGGTGGGAGGAGCTATAGGAGGATGGGCTCATTGTAATGGCTAGAATGGAATCAATGGAACGGAGTCAAACATGTGGTTTCCATATGTTTGATCTGTTTGATAATGTTCAATTTATTCCATTCCAGCCATTACAATGAGCCTGTCCTCCTATAGCTCCTCCCACCAGCCTCCTCTGTTACAGTTATCCAGTAGTGTAAAGTACTTAAGTAAAATTACTTTAGTATTTATGGGGGGTTATCCGTACTCATCTATTTATATTTTACTTTTACTTCACTACAAATAGTGTACTTTTTACTCATTTTCCCTGACTGCCAAACGTACTCCTTACATTTCGAATGCTTAGCAGGACAGGAAAATGGTCCAATTCACGCACTTATCAAGAAAACATCAATGGTCATCCCTACTACCTCTGATCTGGTGGACTCACTAAACACCAATGGTTTGTTTGTAAGTGATGTCTGAGTGTTGGAGTGTGCCCCTGGTTTGCTCAATCTAAGGAATTTGAAATGATTTATAATTTAACTTTTGATACTTAAGTATATTTTAGCAATTACATTTACTTTTGATACTTAAGTATATTTAAAACCAAGTACTTTTAGACTTTTACTCAAGTAGTATTTACAGGGTGACTTTTACTTTAGTCATTTTCAATTAAGGTATCTTTACTTTTACTCAAGTATGAAAAGTGAGTACTTTTTTCACCAATGCTGTCACTGCTGACGATCTACTGTCTGCTCTGAAGTTACTGCATGCTCTTCCCTGCATTCAACTCACTGTCACCTCCCTTTCCAAACACTAGATGGTGCCACCCATTCCAAACACTAGATGGCGACACTTTTCCACAAATAATCCATCCCAGTCAAAACCAACGCTGTTGACAATGACCTAAGATACCGAAGATCCATCTGACAATACTGCAGACGTTTTCCCACAACCTATAAAATGATCCTGCCAATAACAGACATCCTTGACGTGAAGCAGCCTCATATCAATACTGAAGATGGGGGCCCGTCACCTTGACAACCAACACATTTAATCCAATCTAATCTCACCGTGAATTAGACTGCACTGAATGGACATCAGCCCAGCGTAGGGGTGAGGGGTCAAAGGTCAACAAAAGAAGACACACACAGATAATAGGTCCGTGATATCCGGGATACTTGGGATGGCCCTACCCCATTGAAGTTGACATTTTAAATGGTTAAGGTTAGGGTTAGGTAAGGGTTAAGGTTAGGGTAAAGGTAGGGGTAAAGGTTATGGTTTATGGTAGGGACGTCTCAAGGATACCGGATAGCACTCACCACAGATAATAGGGGGGAGAATTCAATTGTCCCATCTGCAGTGAGAGGTCAAGAACAGGTCAGACCGTGTTTTGTGTAGTTGTAAAATTGACTGCTACTGAGCAGACTGACCAGTCAAGATTGATATTGACAGAAGGACTGAAAAGTGCTAGGTTTGGGTTGTTCTGTCTCCTG